ACGCAGTCATTCAGCAAAACAACAAAAGTAAAATTTTGACACATTTGTCTCTATGCATGCTCCGTAGTGTAATTGTATACACATATTTAGATATTAAAAATTAATCCACAACCTATATTTTGATTCACCGTATATGAATATCATTAACACAGTTCATATGACGTTCGTTTCGACTGTAAGAGAGGATCAGACCACATTTGAGCCAGTCACTTTCAGCAACCCAACTAGTGATCATGGTGATAGAACACCTGGTATATATATATGTGTGTGTGTGTGTGTGTGTGTGTGTGTGTGTGTGTGTGTGTGTGTGTGTGTGTGTGTGTGTGTGTGTGTGTGTGTGTGTGTGTGTGTGTGTGTGTGTGTGTGTGTGTGTGTCTGTCTGTGTGTGTCTGTGTGTGTGTCTGTGTGTGTCTGTGTCTGTGTGCAATTATGAAGTTTGTCTTCCTCTCATGTTCATTTTCACACACTTGCCAATAATGAGTAATGGTTATCTCACCTAACTGAAAGTCAAATCGTCTAATGTTGTGGTGCGTTGTTGTCCGTTCGTCCGTCTTCATATATACTCTTGTAACAGTAACTCCCCGCCATAATCACCCCTCATGATTATAATTTTGACATGCATTAATTATTTTAGATGACACTACGACCAGACAAGCTACACAACCTGTCACAATCACTACCGCAGGTTATGAAGCACATTCCTGTCATTCAATAATAAGCATTTTGACATATCATGTGTTGTGTAGGGATTGTGCCAGGAAATGTATCCACCATCACGCAGACGGTCCACACTTCATCCCCTCCTGAACCCAGCGAGAATGAAACAAGGAAAGGGACTTCTGTCATCACCATTGTCGGGTATTCGGCTTCGAGCTCAGTTGTCAGCATCATCGTCACAGCCATAATTTGTCTTGTGAGACGCAAACGACAGAAAGGTGAGGGACCGAAGCTTTAACAATTACAATTGAACAGGATATCAATAAGCTCCACAATAAAACCTCTCGTGATTCTTTCAATAGAAACGTACATCATTCTCTGTCACTTGCCCTAAAACCCGTTGGGAGGGTAAGAACATAGCCACCAATTGAGTGAGTGAGTTGGGTTTAACGCCGCTTTTAACAGTATTCCAGTTATATCGCGGCGTGTCAGCTTAATGTTGGAGGAAAGCCCGAAGTGATGCAGGTCTCAGACGTTTACTACTTCGGTGAAACCCACGAACACGGGTATGGTGCTGAGAAACAAAGAAACATAATTGGGGCGAACCGGGATTCGAACCAACAATCATAAGCTTCTGGCGTACCCAAGGGACGCAACGCTGCACAGCGAATCGCGGCGCCTTAGACGACATGGCCACCCGTGCCCCCCATATAGCAACCAATGCTTGTAAGAGGCTACTTAGTGGATTGTGTTGTCAGCTCGGTCATTTGATTAATTGCTTGTCATCGTGTCCCTTCTGATCGAAGTCCATGACGAAGTCTCTAAATTTTCTGCATACTCAATTATGTAGACCGTCGTAATATGGCTGAAATTTTGCTGAGTAAGGCGTAAATCAACAAACAAACAACACCATAAAATCTGACTGTCCCAAAACCCTTAGCATGTACCGTGATGTACTGATATTCCATCTGCAGAACACACTCACATGTATATGCCTCAGTTGAGATCACAAGTCAAGCGGGAGAAGTTACTTTTGTGAGAAATGTAAAGGCTATGATTTAAAAAAAATCCGAATTTCATTCATTTTTTTCTAAATCAAATGTTATTATTTTATTTTGTTCTTTCAAACGTACCTTAATTCCGATAATTCAGCATTTGTAATAAACGTTCTGCTAGAAGCTTTGCTGATCACTTATTGTTGATCGAGTATTGTTTATCAAAACTAAAATCAGTGTTTCAATTTCAGGGATCGGGAACAGAAGGTAAGCATTACCAAGAAACTTAAACTGGCTATTTGATTCTTCATATCAATTGTAACTCAATGATGTATCAATAGAAATTATGTGCTAATAAAAAAAGGATCTGTTCATGTCCACAGGCTTCCAGTATTATATATCACTCCGAAATACGACGAGAATGAAGGATACGCCACTATTGAAGATTGTTAAGAACCTGGGCATGATTAAAGTGACAATGCCCGTGCGGACATAGTGTAACCGGGTCGTTATTTTGCTCATGTAACAGTCTTGTGACCTCTCCCCTTCCTGGATTTATTTCCGACACCGCTCAGTTAAATCCGGCGGTCGTCAGTGTCCAGTGTCATTACATTCTGTGTTAGGGAATTAGTTGCCCGACTATTTCATTCTTTTGTGATCTAATGGCTCTCTCATACCATGTATTGAATTGATGTATGTTATCTCATAATATGTTCGCTATCTTATTCTTGTATTGAAAATGTCTTTGTAACTATGATTTTCAAACGCTAGGGGACCTAAAATGTACCATCAGATATTTCTCATTTATTTATGATCATTTTGCCTCCTCAATAATTGTACCTAATTGCTTGTGGTATGTCCTTAATGATACCCTGGGATAGCTCATGCCCAGCGCTGTATTTTGATACTTACAACTTCAGTATTGATATAGTAGTTAGTTTGCTATTCGTGTTTTCCCTGTGTATAGAATCACAGTTTGGCTAAGCGCCCTAGTCTGTTGTGTATTCCAGCTGTCCAGGAGAGATTGACCACCCTGAGGCCCCGCGCAGTATATATATACTTCTGTCGTATCGTGTCTCTTTACCCCCCAGGTTTTGTTAAATCGTTTACGATGTCTCACTACTGGGATGGTCTCGTTCGATACTCATGTTTCATTAGTAAGTTGTTATGGGACACTGTTCGATCTAAGTTCTGACTTAGTCTGATTGTACTGCGCCAAACTTAGTAGCTTTGGTTTGTAATACTCAGTTTTTCTGGTAATCCATGGATAACAAACCCTCCCGTGCTTGTCTAGCTATTTGGGAATTTTAGTATTTCCTTGTCCAGACAGAGTGACTGAACCTTTACTAGATCTGACTAATTGATATTAAGACGTACTCGTCTATTTTGTGACTTACGTGACTTATTTTAGGGCTAGGCCCTCTGTGTTTATTTCCCGTTATTGAACCTAGCCGAGGTTACTCACTCATTATAGTGTCGAGTTAATTTACTCAGGTGATAATTGGTCGCAGCCGACTTAATTGGCTATCTACACATCTGGTCGGTATCTTGTCAAAGTGTTGCTTGAGCTCCACTCATTTTATAACTGTAATACTTTTGCTTAGATAAGCCGCTTGTGTATTTGCTCTGATATAAATAATCAGTGATCTTTGTCAGCGTAGATTGGGTTTTTTCTGATCTTTTATTGTCATCTATTAGTACAATTATCTCTTATTAATAAACCTGTGAACCTATTACCACGTTTTCATTATTACTTTATTCTTATTTAATAACAGCCCCAATCAGCTCACAGAGGAACTGAAAACATCAGATCCGTTTAGATATATTTGGAACACACGCTCGCCATCATTACCTGAAATTGGCTTTTATTAACATTCACTCTTTCATTGGGCTGATCGTAACTACATATCTTCATGTATATTGACGGTAAGTAAGACTTTATGAATGAGTAATATGATCAAACACTACGCCTACCGGGAAAATAATGGCTATATTTTATGCTGTTCAGTGATGATGTCGCTTATGTGCACAAACCAGACAAGCAAACCGTGATGTATGTTGTGTTGCGAGACATATGTGATGACTACACAACCGTAAGTTCTTGAATTGAACACAATGGGTCATAGAACAGACGGATAGCCAGCATGTATGTGTAGAGAAAGTGCTTCTGTCTAGTCGTAACAGCCTTATTCATGAGCCGGAATTTGCAATGACTCCAAAGAAAGAAATGTCCAGGTTATACCGACCGAAAAAGTCCATGTCATAGGAACTTGTTGTGTACGATGAACAATAGATATCCACAGAAATGTATGACACAGGTCATTTCTGTTTAAACACACTTCTAACTTCCTGCATGATGGTCTGGAGATAAAGTTCATGGCACATACCACACAATACTTTTCCCATACATTTCAATGGTCACTCTCCAGGTTATTTCCTCCTTCAGTTTGTAACTTCTCGAGGAAACTAAAGCTTTGGACGTGTTGTTAGATCGCGATGAAAAACTAATATTTTGGACGGTTCATTAAATTCATTGCATTAAAACAAGCTGTTGTTTTCACAAATGTTTTTGTGTGTGGCGTTTGCTGTATTGTGTGTTGGACGATGTGTTGGATGGCTGCAAGCCTATACCATATGGAAACTACACACAAGGACATAAGCCACTCACCAGCCCTCATTATGTATACTCCTTGTGCTCCGATACTTTCCTTGTATATGAGAAGGCTCGTTCACACAGATTTTGTTTATGTATGATTCGTGATTATGTAAACGACATGTAGCAATGTAACCCTGCAAGATGAATATTTATAATATGTGTTTCTCTATGTTTGGCATACACAAGGTAAAGTTTCTACTTTGTCAGTACTACGTTTTTGACAAATCTATATTTACAGGGGTGTCCAGTTTTGCACATTTCGTAATGGCCCTACTGCTTTATGTCAACGTGTAATAACAATTTTCCAAATAAATTAAAACTTTACCCGCAATCATATTCCAGGATATAAAGAATAGGGGGCACAAATGTAATGTAATGACATTTACATGCTTAGCAGTTTTCTCTTCTTATTCCTCTAACGGAGCAGGGTGTGAGTGAGTGAGTGAGTGAGTATAGTTTTACGCCGTTTTTAGCAATATTCCAGCAATATCACAGCGGGGGACACCAGAAATGGGCTTCACATATTGTACCCATGGCGGGAATCGAGCCCGGGTCTTCAAGGTGACCAGTGAGTGAGTGAGTATGGTTTTACGCAGCTTTTAGCAATTTTCCAGCAATATCACAGCGGGGGACACCAGAAATGGTCTTCACATATTGTACCCATGTCGGGAATCGAACCCGGGTCGGCGTGA